AAAAAAAGATAAATTAAATATACATATATAGAGGGCGGATCAAATGGGACCAGCTCTTAAAATTGGACCAGCTCTTAAAATGGGACCAACTCTTAGCAACTACAGAGAACTAACCTAGCAACTACAGACAACTAACCTAGCAACTACTAACTTAGCAACTACAGAGAACTAACCTGACAGCAAGAAAGAAATAACCTAGCAACAAAAGACAACTAACCTAGCAGCATCAGACAACTATCCTAGCAACAAGAAAGAACTAATCTAGCAACAAAAGACAACTAACCTAGCAACTTAAGACAACTAACCTAGCAACAAAACTCAACTAACCTAGCAGCTACAATTAACTAACCTAGCAACAAAACACAACTAACCTAGCAGCTAAAGATAACTAACCTAGCAACAAAAGACAACTAACCTAGCAGCAAGAAAGAAATAACCTAGCAACAAAAGACGTTGTCCACCTCTCTAGCCACATTTGGATCGAGCTAGACGCTGCGGCTGTCGTCACCCTCCTGACTTTGGGCCACCAGGGCTCGTGGCAGATTCAACACCCGCTTATGCGTATTAGAGCTCTACTCCGGACTGTCCACCACAGGATCATGCACATTTTCCGTGAGGGGAACACACCTGCAGACTATCTTGCCAGCCTTGGCGCCACCACACCTGACTCCCACACGTTCCAGACCGACACTGCTCCACTCCGGCTTCGTACGCTCGTACGGATGGACCAGCTTGGATATCCATCTTTTCGCTTTCAGTAGATTACGCTTATTACTTTCTTTAGATTAGATCTTTGCTTCCGGGCATCTGTTAGCCCGAGGACAGACTTTGTATTATTTTTTTTTACTTTTTTTTTTGTTTTCTTTTGTTTTTTTTTTGGTTTGTTTGAGAAACTTTTGTACATTGTAGTATGTTGATATTTTGGGCCCCAGTTTTGGGGTCTTGATCTATGCACAGGTTGAGGATCTAGCCCAATCCCGCCCTTCCGGGGCGTTGTTTGTTTAAAAAAAAACCTAGCAACAAAAGACAACTAACCTAGCAGCAAGAAAGAAATAACCTAGCAACAAAAGACAACTAACCTAGCAGCATCAGACAACTAACCTAGCAGCAAAAAAAACTAACCTAGCAACAAAAGACAACTAACCTAGCAGAAAAAAAAATAACCTAGCAACTTAAGACAACTAACCTAGCAACAAAACTCACAGATCGGCTTTCAGATTGCTGTCCACCTCTCTAGCCACATTTGGATCTAGCTAGACGCTGCGGCTGTAGCCACCCTTTTGACCTCGGGCCACCAGGGCTCGTGGCAGATTCAGCACCCGCTTATGCGTATTAGAGTTCTACTCCGGTCTGTCCATCACAGGATCACGCACATTTTCCGTGAGGGGAACAGACCTGCCGACTACCTGGCCAGCCTTGGCGCCACCATACCAGACACACATACATTTCAGACTGACACTGCTCCACTCCGCCTTCGCACTCTTGTACGGATGGACCAGCTTGGATATCCAGCGTTCCGCTTTCAGTAGTTTAGGATTTTTGCTTTCATTAGTCTAGACATTTATTTCGGGCATCTGTTAGCCCGAAGATCTACTTTGTATTGTAGTTTCTGTTTCTTTTTTGTTTTTTCGGATTTTCTTTTTTGTTTCTTCTTTTGCTTTTGATTTTGACTTGTGAGACTCTGTAGACTTTTGTATCTTGCTCGTTGATATTGTGGGCCCCCGATTTTGGGGCCCTGATCTATGCACAGGTTGGGGATCCAGCCCAATCTTCCGCCCTCTTGGGGCGTTGTTTGTTAAAAAAAAAAACCTAGCAACAAGAAAAAAATAAACTAGCAACAAAAGACAACTAACCTAGCAACATCACACAACTAACCTAGCAGCAAGAAAGAACTAACCTACCAACAAAAGACAACTAACCTAGCAGCAAGAAAAAAAATAACCTAGCAACTTAAGACAACTAACCTAGCAACAAAACTCAACTAACCTAGCAGCTACAAATAACTAACCTAGCAACAACAAACAACTAACCTAGCAACAAAACACAACTAACCTAGCAAGAAAGAAATAACATAACAACAAAAGATAAATGGTCAACGGTCAACGCCGGAAGTCAACGATTTTTGCCAGAAGTCAATGGTCAACGTCGGAAGTTAACGGTCAACGCCGAAGTCAACGGTCAATGGTCATAATAATATTTAAATAATTAAAAATAAAGAATTAAATAATAAAAATAAAGAATTATTATTTAAATCAAGATCTAAATCTTGTGGCTAGGAATGAGTCTCACGTCCTCACTTTAAATAAGCGGATGCATTTGAACCAATCCCTACATATATAAATATAAAGTTTTGTAATTACTTGATATAGTACGTTTAATTTTCACTTGTCACGTTTAGTTGCTAAAAAGAAAATTCTTTAATTTTTTCCATTTCTTTTGTTTTTAGCATTATTGTATATTTTCTGGTAAATAATCTATAATAATTTATCATTTCACTGAATTTTATAAAAAAAAAAATTGTAATTATATAAACATAATATAATTTATCAAGTTACTTAAAAAGTATGAGGAAAATAATATTTTAACGATATATAAAATAATAATTATAACCATTTATATTAGGTAATATATATTATTATATTTTTAAATTTATTGAAAGAGAATATAATTCTGACCAAGTGTGCCAAGAAGATCCAAATTCTGACCAAGCAACTGGAAACCATGAGAGAAGAAGGACAGGACAGAGACTGGGCTACCTGGATGAAAATAAAACTTGATCTTGATTCAGCACATAAGGAAGAAGAGCAATTCTTGAGACTTAAATCAAGGAAACTGTGGCTGAAACAGGGGGATACCAATACAAAATACTTTCATGCAGCAACATCTCATAGGAGAAAAGTGAATACTATTCAGAAGTTGGTGACAGAATCAGGTGAAGCTGTTGAGTCACTTGAAGATGTGGAAAAACATATCTCTGAGTTTTATAAGAAACTTTTTTCCTCAGGAGGGTCTGAAGATGGTGAACCCCTGCTCCAAAACATTGGCAAAGCTATTTCCGATGACATGATTGATAAACATATTAAGCCAATCAGTGAGATGGAGATCAAAAAGGCTGTTTTCTCCATGGCCCCTGAAAAAGCTCCGGGGGAGAATGGAATGTCTACGGTTTTCTTCCAACATTTTTGGCATATCCTGAGCAATGATATGTGCAGAGCAATAAAAAGTTTCTTCTAGACAGGACATATGGCTAGGAACTGGAATCACACGGTGATAACACTAATTCCCAAGTGTTTGCACCCGGAGAAGCTCAGTAACTGTAGGCCGATAAGCCTCTGCAGAGTCTTATACAAGATTATTGCAAAGATATTGGCAGATAGACTTAAATCCTGCTTGAATGAATGTGTGAGTCAACAACAATCAGCTTTTGTCCCTGGAAGCAGACAACTATTGGATAATGTGGTGATAGCACATGAAGTTTTCCATTTCCTTAACAGACACAGAACTGGAAAAAATGTGTTCATGGCCATAAAGCTGGATATGGAAAAAGCGTACGACAAAGTAGAATGGGAGTGTATCATGCAAACAATGCAGAGGATGGGCTTTCATGAGAAATTCATCAGATGGGTCATTGCTTGTGTGACCGCAACTTCTTTTTCATTTAATCTGAGGGGTCAGGTCAGTGGGTTTGTCACACCACCGAGGGGAATCAGACAAGGAGATCCACTTTCACCATATTTATTCATCCTAATTTCAGAGTTTTACTCTGCTACACTGTCCAATTATGCCAGCAGGAACCAATTCAAAGGTGTGAAAATTTCTAAAGGTGGACCAATGATATCACACTTGTTGTTTGCTAACGATGCCTTGGTTTTTTGCAAAGCTGATGAACACCATGCTCAATTATTGCTCAAAATTCTCAGTCAATATCAACACGTTGCTGGTCAAAAGGTCAATTTACACAAGTCCTTCATATTTCTGAGTAGAAATTGTTTTGAGGAGCTGAAAACAAAGCTTCAGTCTATTTTTCAAGGTGTGGTTATCAAAAGATCCTCTAAATACGTAGGTTTGTCCCTGGGGATAGGAGCTTCTAAATCTGATGCCTTCCAATTTGTGGTTGATGCTGTAAAAAGTAGGATTTGCAGTTGGAAGAACCATTTTTTATCCACAGCTGGCAAGGAGGTGATGGTTAAAGCAGTACTCAATGCATTACCCATATTTGTGATGTCCTGTTTTGTGTTGCCAAAGGGTATTTGCAAGGATGTTTGTAGAGTAATAACAGATTTCTGGTGGCAAACTAGTGAATAGAGAGATAGAGGCATGCACTGAATGGCATGGGAGAAGATGGCTTGCCCAAAACAGGAGGGTGGAATTGGTTTTCATGGTATCCAGACTTTCAATAAGGCTTTAATATTAAAACAACTTTGGAGGATAATTGTGAAGGCTGATCTTCAGTAAAGTACTTAAAGATAGGTACTTTCCTGGCCAATCTATTTTTGAACAAAACAGCTGCAGTGGATCATCTGGCTTTGGAAATCCTGGTCCTAGTTTTTGCCTTTCTTATCACAGCATATGGTCAGATGCATTCATAGTGGGGAATCTACCAAAATAAATGAAATGAGTTGGGTTCCAGGAATAACAGGAAGGAAACCAGAGTTGAGAGTTTTGGTTGATGGGAATGAATTTTGGGTGAAAGACCTGTTGGTGCAGGGTGGCAGGAAGTGGGATGAGGCTTTAGTGAGAGCCTTATTCAAAGTAGTGGATGCAAATAAAATTCTGGCTTTTACAGAGCTAAATGCAACTGAAGAGAATAGATGGAAACGCACCTTTGTGAATAAAGGCTATTTCTCTGTCAAAGCTGTCTATTCTTTGATGCTTAGCAATAAAATGTGTGAAATTGCCAGAGCTGAATCAAGCAAATTAGCTGGAGACAATAAACGAGCTAAGATGAGGTGCTGGAAATTAAAAGTAGTTGGGAAAGTGAGACACTTTGTTTGGAGGTGTTTTACTAACATTGTACCTGTCAACTGCAACATCAAAGGGAGGAGGATGGATATAGAGACAAGGTGCCAGACCTGTGGAGAGGCAGAGAAAACATTAGAACACACTCTGTTCTATTGTACAAGAGCTCAAAATACATGGAAACTAGCACCGGTTCAATGGAATAGACTGCAAAATGAGAAAATCTCTTTCAAACAGTGGTGGTGGTGGGTAAGCTCTATGGATTATACAGAGACTTCTGAAGATCGCATCCAACTATCAACGTATATACTTTGATGGTTATGGAAGGAGCGGAATTTGTGGGCTTTTGAAAGGATTTGGCAGCCAGAATGGTGGAAAGTTAAAATGGGAACACATGAATGGTTGGAGTATAAAGCTATATCCTGAAGCAGTCAGAGGGAAAGGAAGCAAACATTAGGTCTTGTGTCAGTTGTGTCTGATTCTTTTCTTTCTCCTTCGGGTTTTTTGTTTGATACCAATCTTGTGATGTGTAATCCAGTGAAGTCCGGGTCTTGTTTATGTCTGCCATTGTGTCTTTTGAATGTTGAATGGATGGAATTTGTTAGCATTTGGCCTTGATATGTTAGGCAGGTATTTCGGTTAGGTTGCAAGGATTTGTGTAACCTCTCAGGTCATGCGATTTGGGCTTTGCTCCCATGTACTATTTTCTTTGTGTTGAATGGAAGAGAAATTATGTCGTTGGAAAAAAAAAAAAAAAAAAAAATAATTCTCATTCAAAATGGTATTGTCAGAANAGAATATAATTTATTTTTAAACATTTTTTCATTATAACACCACCCGCTTGGTCCACTCTCATTCCTATTCTGAAAGATCGTGTGTCTATCTCAATAAAAAATGTGCTATCTACCAGACTGAATGAATATTGTTGGATCCCTGGACTGCAAGGTAGAAAACCTGAATTAATATCTGAAATAGATACAAGTGGGATCAAAGTGAAGGACTTAATGTGTGGAGGTGGGAAGTTCTGGGATGCTGGGCTAATCAGAGCCCTTTTTAAACAAGAAGATGCTAATGAGATCCTCAAGATAAAGGGTCTAAACCCTTGGGCTGCAGATGTTTGGAGGTGCTCCTTTACAAAGCAAGGCAATTTATGTGTGAAGGCAATGTACACTATGTTACTCCAACAGAAAATTTGTAAGGTGGCTGCACCTGAAACTAGTGCTCTTGCTGGGAGGAACACTAAAGTCAGGTTAAGGATTTGGAGGTTGCAGGTGTTGAACAAAGTTAAACATTTTATTTGGAGAAGCATCAACAATATCCTACCTGTTAAAGGGAACATGAGTAGCAGAGGACTAATAGTGGCACTTCAATGTCCCTAATGTGGAGAGGCAGAGGAAACACAAGAACAATAAATAACTTCAGTATAACAGAGCCCTGAAGACATGGAAGCTTGCACCTGTACAGTGGAACATAATGCATGATGGACAACTTTCTGTCAAAGAGTTGTGGTGGATCAGTTCAATGCCAAGTGATGAAACTTCTGAAGATCGTATTCAACTCTCCACATATATATTATGGTGGCTATGGAGGGCCCGCAATTTGTGGGTGTTTGAGAAGAAATGGCAACCGAAGACTTGGATCATCAAAGCTGCTCTTAGGGACTGGACAGAGTTCAAATCCAGAAATGAGGCTTGAACTGGAAGGGCATGACTAGGTCTCGTATCAATGGTCTTGTCTCTTTTAGTTTCCATTTCTGTTTTCTATGTTAGATGTTCAAGAGTCTCCAGGTTGTGTTTGTGTAGCTAGGTCTATGATGTATCTGTCATTGTCTGACTATTGGTTTATGGTTCTGACTATTGGTTCTGTATTTGGTTGGGTATTGATGTTGGTATTGAGGTTCGCTATTAGGTTTGGATTAGGCCGCACATGTGGTGCGTGCTCTCCCAGTGACCCAGGATATTGACTTTCCATTCTACGTTTTTCACCATTGATTTATAAGAGTTCCTTCTGTCGTTTGGGAAAAAAAAAATTAAAAATAGCATGTGAAAGTTTTCATAACAAATATAATATTATTAAAGGAGAAAATTTTATAGCCGTAATTTTTTACGGTTTCAACTATTTAAAATAATAAAATTACAAATAATTTTTATATATGAATTGCGCATTTTTTATTTTCAACTGCACATCAACATTGTTTAAATCTTATTCAAAATTTACTATATCATATAGTTCGTTTTTCAAATGATATTATAAATATTTAACAATCAATTAATTTCAATTATGTAATTAGTACATTATGTTATATGGAGAAACATAGATTTGACACTACATCAAAGTCATATTTTAATTATGTTAATGTATTATTTTATCGTATGTACTATACATTTGACACTACATAATTTCCTAACAATTTATACTTATATTAAAAGGTATACCATTTACCAGATTTAGTATAAAGAAAAGTCAACAACATTTATTGCATTACTAGTTCCGTATTATACAATCTATACTTATATAAAAGGAGATTCTATTTACTACTTTTACTATCCACAAAAGTCAACTGCATAAATGTCATTATTATTTTTTTTATTATAATATTCTATTTATTTAATTAATTTAATTATTTATTTTATTTTAAAAAGATAAGTATGATAACAAAATTTTAATAATAAAAAAATCAAATACCAAATAAAAATGTACACTTTGACTTATTTGATTATATTTGGTATTTGATTATACCAAATATATTCTTATTTAGTATTTTTTTTATTTGTCAAAGTTAAGTATAGATTTGTTTATATTATCAAATCATAAAAAATATTAAATTCATATTGTTAAAAAAAAAATCATATAATTTTATAACAATTCTACTACACTATTTAACTATATTTCTTTTTTATTATATAATAAAATAATAATTAAATATTATATGGTGAACAACAATAAGTAAAACTGTTACTTTCTCTTATATCAAGGGATAAATTTATATGCTAAAATAAAATTTTTATTAGTATAAATGTTTTAGTGAGATAATATATTAATTATTTTACAAGCTAGCCCTAACATGCTCATATATAATGTTTCAAAAGATGTAGAAAACAAACGTATAATAACTCTATTGTTTTTTAGACTTAAACGTTGATTAAAAGAAGTAAAAATTCCATTTCTTTTAGACTGAAACGTTGATTAACACCATAAATTGAGAGTTTATATTCAGTAAAATTCCTAATTGCAATAAAAAAATTAATTTTTGCTATATTTTAGAATATCTTTAAATTCATTATAAAAAAAAAAAAGAAACTACAATGAAAAAAGCAAGTTAGCTATATATCGATTTGTTGTACTCCTCAAATCACATTCACAATTTGGCTACAAGGAAAGGAAAGTCATTGATTAAATATTATTTTGTCAGTAGTCTTAATGTACAAGAGACTTTAAGACTCCACTTGAATATTATAAAACTTTTATTGAACATTGTACAATTTTCTTGCGTATTATAAACTTTTATTAAATATTGCATCTTATAATATAATATTCTCCAAATAAATATATCTCGTGCTTCGCACGTGTCACGTACTATATATATCTCGTATATTTTTCTTTATTCATGTATATAATTATAAGCCTAGATAAATAGCCTTAAAATTATGCACCCGTACATCGCACGGGCTCTGTACTAAGTGACAATTAATGTATAAACTTCCACACTATTGTGAACTATTGGAGCAAAAATATAATTTAAATTTTAAATGTTATCTAAAACTTATTGTATCATCATTTCATTATTTGATATCGTAATGTATATATATGTAAGTATAAGGTTAATACATTTTGGCAAAAAAAAATATCTGAGAGGTTATTGCATAGCCATTATTTTCTGTTTTTTTTTTTTTTATACTCAAATCCTTTCATGCTCTTTTTTTAATTTTTTTCTTATTGATTATCAATATATTTTTTTTAATAAAAATCTTTAACATGTTTTACTTATCTATTATTCATATTTTATTTATAATGCAGTATATTAATTATCTTTTTTTACTCTTTGATTTGATTTCCAAATTGTATGTATGAATTATACAAGTAGTTATTCCTATAAAAAAAATAAAAATAAATAAGTTCATCAATAATATTTAATTTAAGAAAAACCAACGAGACTAAAGTTATATCATAAAACAATGCATAAATGTACACCAAATAAATTATTTAGCATAAAATAACCTAAAATATATTTTTGGTGTATTTACCCATATATTTTTTAAATCTATACTTATATTAAAAGGTATCCCATTACCAGATTTAGTATAAAGAAAAGTCAACAACATTTACTGCATTACTATTTCCGTATTATACAATCTATACTTATATAAAAGGAGATTCTATTTACTACATTTACTATCCAGAAAAGTCAACTGCATTAAATGCCATTACTATTTTGGTATTATAATATTTTACTTATTTAATTGATTTATTTATTTGTTTTATTTTAAAAAGGTAAGTATAATAAAAAGAATTTAATAATAAAAAAAAATCAAATACCAAATAAAAATGTACACTTTGACTTATTTGATTATATTTGGTATTTGATTATACCAAATATATTCCTATTTAGTATATACATTAAATACTTACTAAAGTATTTATTTATTTTATTTGTCAAAGTTAAGTATAGATTTGTTTATATTATCAAATCATAAAAAAATATTAAATCCATATTGTAAAAAAAAAATCATATAATTTTATAACAATTCTACTACACTATTTAACAATATTTTTTTTTTATTATATAATAAAATAATAATTAAATATTATATGGTGAACAACAATAAGTAAAACTGTTACTTTCTCTTATATCAAGGGATAAATTTATATGCTAAAATTAAATTTTTATTAGTATAAATATTTTAGTGAGATAATATATTAATTATTTTACAAGCTAGCCTTAACATGCTCATATTTAATGTTTTAAAAGATGTAGAAAAAAACTTATAATAACTCTATTGTTTTTTAGACTTAAACGTTGATTAAAAGAGGTAAAAATTCCTAATTTTTTAGACTTGAACGTTGATTAACACCATATATTCAGAGTTTATATTTAGTAAAATTCCTAATTGTAATAAAAAAATTAATTTTTGCTATATTTTAGAATATCTTTAAATCCATTATAAAAAAAAAAGAAAAAAAACTACAATGAAAAAAGCAAGTCAGCTATATATCGATTTGTTGTACTCCTCAAATCACATTCACAATTTGGCTACAAGGAAAGGAAAGGAAACTCATTGATTAAATATTATTTTATCAGTAGTCTTAATGTACAAGAGACTTTAAGACTCCACTTGAATATTATAAAACTTTTATTGAACATTGTACAATTTTCTTGCGTATTATAAACTTTTATCGAATATTGCATCTTATAATATAATATTCTCCAAATAAATATATCTCGTGCTTCGCACGGGTCACGTATTATATATATCCCATACATTTTTTTTATTCATATATATAATTATAAGCCTGGATAAATAGCCTTACAATTGTGCACTTCGTGCATCGCACGGGCTCTGTACTAGTTTTATATTAAAGACGTAAGATAGATGCAACGTAAGATAGATGTAGTTTAATCATCAAGTATATATCATATTAAAAGGTTAAACTAACCGGTCAGTCAAACCAACATGTAATATTATAATAGGAAAAAGGAAAGGCCAGTATAATTATAATATATTATTATAAGTACGACAAAATAAATTAATTAAAATTTATCAAATAGTCACTCAAGATCATTAATTAATTTTTTCAACACTAAAATAATATATGTTACATCAACTTTCAATCAATGTCGTTTTATAGACTTGATTTCATGTACAAACAAAATTTTATTTTTAATATAATACAAAATTTCCAACTTCAACATCAAGAATAAAAATAATATTATAAGAATCAATTATCAATAAAAAAGAGATAAAAAGATTAACTATGCATATAAATTAAATTTTAAACTATTATATATTATGGAAACAAAAGTAAAAGATTGATAATAAAAAAACTTTTAGATACTATTTTTAAATTAATCAATATCCACTCACTCAATTAATTTATTTATTTGATTAATTGTTTCATTGTGCACCGCATGTACTATGTACTAATAAATAGTAACACAAAAATACTCCAAATAACCCAAATGCGAGACGCGGGTCGACCCGAGAATATGGAGATAGGACCCGGTTATAGGATCTGCATCTGCACTGCAGCATTAAAATCTTGGCGCGCCATTGAATTCAAATCAGTGGGCCCATGAGGCTGTGGCCTAGCAATAGTGGTCTCCACATGATAGATGCACTAATTGTTATTTGATATATGTTGCGTTGGTCCCCCGACACTTAATCATAATCTAATTTTCGATAGTACCCCAATCCATCTAAACACACAATCAACACACACAGTCACGTACAATTCTCGGGAAATTGAATATATTATTGTCAACCATAATTTTAATCAAGGCTCTTCGGACCCAATTGTTAAAAAAAAATAAAATTGTTGAGTTAATCTGTAAACTTGGCATGGTTAACACTTAACACTGTAATAGATTATATAAAATTTTATATAACATATATATATATATATAGAAAATGAATTATATGAAAATAGTAGATAGTGAAATAAATAAGAACGATTTTGGACCATTGGATCAATTATAT